TGCTTTCTCTTAAGTAAACAAGGAGTCTTTTCAGGTATTTTGAGTTGAAATTGAGAAGGACATTTTTAATTACAGAGAATGTAGAGAAAGAGTAAGTCACTGGAGAATGATGACCATAATACACTTAATATTCGACTTCACTCTGGGTGGAAGAGACTAGATCAGGAGTTAAATTTTTACACACAAAGGACCCACTATACAAGGGAGAAAGGAAGGAAGGGAGGGAAAAAGGAGGAAACAGAAGAAAAACATCAGTCTCTATTTGAATAAGCTTACATGAAGAATTTTTTATAAAAGAAAGATTAACAAATGTTAAAGAAAATTAATTTATTGCCCCAAATGTGGCTCCTCAAAATAAAATAAAAACGAATATGAAATATCAACTATCATGGCATGGCTCCCTTTTCCCTCCCAGATGCCCTGTTCCATGTGTGTAAGTGTTTGGGGCAAGCAAATTCATTGGCACGGTCTTTCTAGCTCTGAATTCCAATTGTAGACAGGTAAATGCACTGCACAGAATGTAGAGGGGTAAACTCTGGTAGGTATTGGTGAAGCAGGAAGAGCAAAATCACAAAGGGCAGCACCCCTAAGGGAAGGTCTTTGATCTGCGGTGCAATAATCTCAATCCTCTAAGAGTCGGCTCTCCCTCTCCCATCCCCACACTCAACTCTCACCCAGCTGGTTAGACAGTTTCTCCCCTCCCCAATTGTTACTGAAAAGAGACCGGAAAGAGCAAATATCAGACAATGATCAAACAGGACAGGCTCAAAATCAGTAATGGTGATTCCAGGCTCCCTTGGGAATAATAAAGGAACAGAGGGGGCAGGAAGAGAGTCAATTAATACATTCCCAGGCAAGAGAGAGCAGAGGCCAAGGAAAAGGATGGAATTAAACACCAATTGTGCCGGTCTGCCTACTTCAATGTTATTCTTCACAGATACAAAACCAACAAGCAACCAAGACAAAGGTATAAAATTTGTGAGAGTGGCAAGGGCCCTGTAACTAGCTCTACCTCCACCATCTCTCCGTGATCCTGAGTGAGGCATCAGAGCCTCTCTAGCCTGCATTGATCTTAACTATAAAATGAAGAGTGAGGAAAAAAAAATAATAATTCCTGTGAGTCCTTCCCATGTTAGCATTCTAGAATGCTGTGTTCCTTCATCACTACTTCCATCCCATAAGGTTCAAACTGGTTCAAATGTAGCACCCTACAAAAACATAGTTCAAGAGAACGCCTTTTGATGGAAAAGAGAACAAAAGAGAATCCCTGACCTGTGGCTGGTTCATGACTACTGAACTCTGATATCCAGCTCCAAGGACCACAGCTTCTCTAGAAACATTTATATAGTCATCTATGGAAAACAATGGCTAAATGCAGATGAATGGTGTTATTTGATACTATTTGGTAAAGACATTCTTCTAAAAAACGACAAGTTTGTTCAACAACAGTGCAATAGGCCAAACAAGACTTTGGAAGCAAATTTTACTGATGATGTGGTAGGATGAACAGAACAGGGAGCCCTTTCATCAAGCAAGGTCAATGTTTAGCAAATTGGATTTGGCAAGAACCCGAGGATAAGAAAGGGGGGAAATCAACTTCTTCACATACCCACCTCCTGCTGGACTTCACCTCAAGGTAATCCCACACTCACACAGTCAACACATCCAAAATACAGGGTCTCCTCTTCCCCATCTGTTGTTACTCCTGTGTTCCCAAGCTCAGCTGAGACCAACTCCATCTCCCACACACTTCTCAAATCAAGCCCTACCTTTGCAACTCTCCTGCATTAGCACCTGGCTAACTTGGAGTAACTGCCTCTACTCTTGCCCCTCTCACATCGATCCTCCAATCAAATTCCAGAAAAATTTCCCGCTTATAGCCCAAAGGCTTTTACATGCAACAACATGGATGAATCTCAACAGTATTACACTAAGAGAAAGAAAGCAGACTTAAAAGTTTACATACTGTATAATCCCATTGATATGACATTCTGGAAAGGGCATTAACTCCACAAGACCAGAAAACAGATCAGTGGTTGCGAGGATGAGAGGAGCGCTTAGTTACTCAGAAGCATTGAGGATTTTAGGGGGTGATATCAATGTTCTTTGCCTTGACTCTGCTGCTGGTTACGAGCCTTATATCAAACACATCAAACTATACACTAAAATGGGTTCATTTTACTCTATATAAATCCTACCCTAATATAAAAAAATTGGGGAAAACCCCAAGGATTCTTCCATTGCCTACAGGTTCCATGGCATTGTTTATCTGTCCCATCTTGCCTTCCACATTCCAGCAAAAATCAACTTTTTCAAATGTCCTGTACTCTCCCTGCACAAGCTTCTCACCGCTGGCTCACTCTTTAACACAGCTTTTCCCAATTAACTCCCAAGTCCTCCAGGCTGCCTCCCTGTCTCTCCCACCCCTCAAATTCCCAAGCTAATTAAGTTGGATGCCCTTCCTCTAGGCTCTCATAATGCCTGATATTTCCCCATCACTGCATTCAAAGAAATGTATTATATATATTATAGGCATACATTATGACATAATAATCTGGTCTTTCATCAAATAACTGAAGTGTGAAATGACCGTGCAAGCCGAAACCACGCAAAGCAATCTCAATCATCAATTCGGAAAGTTATTATTTTTCTGCAACCTCTAACATGTTTTGTCAGAGCATTAAAAACTATCAGCTATATATGTATAGGAAAATGGAAAAACAAACATTTATTTAGTATACTGTAATTTTAAGTATTCAAAGCTTTGAGAATTAAAGTTTCTTCTTTTATTAAAAAAATCAAGTGTCGTTCGTAATGTCATCCCTTCACTGTGTAATTTAAAATACCAAATGAGCATCTTTTGATCCCTTGGTGAAGGGGTACACTTCTATGTTTGAACTAGCTTCCAACATTTGATCCTCTGTGTTTTAGTGTCTTGCAGTATCCCTCTGAGGAGTTCCTTTAACGTGAAGTTTTTGGCCAGCATCCTTTCCTCTGTTAGGTCTTCATCCTTTTAGTCACAGCTACCTTCCTAATTTGTGACCAATTACCCTTCGCTGAGCTCCTCTGGCTGCATGTGTGGAGTGTCTACAACAGTGGCAGTGCTGACATTTACATGGTTAGGTATTTTTTCCAGAACTCTCTTTGCAAGTGGTTTAAATTTCATTCCCAGCATTATCAACTTTTCATTTCTTCGCTGCAACTTTGATCTTTGTCAGCCAATTCCCTTTTTGCATTACCCATTCTTATGAAATGTTATAATGAGACAAGAAGCAACACAGCTACGTGCATTGCTGTCTGTTCAGGACCAAATAACAGGGTGTGCTAGTTGGACTTTTATACAATTATTCACAGCTAACATTATAAGTGAAATTTAAACTGTGTTTTTTGGAAACTGGTGTTACTTAATTAACTATAATAACTGAAAATTGTGCATATGGGAACTGTGCAAACTAAGAATTATTTGTATTTATAATAATTTTAGAATTAATCAACTGGCTCACCACTGAGACAAATTTAAGGAATTGGAATTTATTCCCTTCCCATCTACACCTTCTAGCTTATAGCATCACAAAATGAAGGCAACTTCCTAACAACTCAATTCACAGGCAAGTCTAACAAATCAGAGGAAATAATCAGATTATAATCCAAACTCAGTTACCAGTAACAAAGTTATGAACTGATGCTGTGCCTCTATGACTTCCCCTATAAAATACAGTTAAAAACAGTTCCTTCTTCACAGGGCCATTGTGAAGACTCTAAAGAAGAAACAGACTTTAAAACGCACTTTGAAAAATTCAACCAGATACCATCACATCAAGTGTACACTTAGTGTGCACCAAACACTACCAAAAGAGCTTTTCATTAAATTTTCTCATACAATTCTCAAAACAGCCTACAAGGTAAGTAGCATTATAGTCTCCATTTTACAGAAGAATACTAAAGCACTCTCCGAGAAGTCAAATAACTTGTCCAAGGGTATGCAAATAGTAAGCAGTAAAGCCTGTATTTGAGCTCAAAAATTTTAACTCTATAGATCAAGTTCTTTAGAACTTCTTCACTTTTTCACTGCTTTCTCAGACCACAGAAGGACATGGTCATTGAGAAAGGTAAAACACTGAATCCTAGAAATTGGACAAACCCAATTCAATATGACTCAATATAGGATCCAGTTCTATTGGGACATTTTCTGGGCAAAAGGAAAAAGATGCACAATGTCCAGAGATCCAAGGGGCTAAGCAGAACTATAAAAGGAGCCAAAAAAGTAGGTGGGGGAGTTCAAATATCTTCAATTATTTTATGCTAGTTAGTAGAAACAAAAATACCAAAAAAAAGAACAAGAAACAAAATTCATTTTACAAGAATAGTGAAGGAATAATATTTATCATGAGTGTATAAAAAAGCAAGAGTGCCATAAAAACAAGATATGTAGAACCAACCAATTTCAATGACATTTTCTAACACTGACCCTGAAAGTTAATAACATTGTTTGTTAAGGTCTGATTTCACAAGGAATTCCATATGGAACAGAAACACGAGAGTCTAATAAGGATGTATGATATGAAAGCAACGGGATTAGTTAACTAAAATAAGTAGATTCCTCTCAAAATATAGTCCATTCAGAAGGACACATTTAGAACATTTGTATCTCATTAGGGGTATTAAGTGAGAAAGAGTCTTAGTACCAAGCAGTCCTAATTATAATTCATCTTGGGAAATAAAGTGAGTTCTCCTTACTGAACAGTAAAATGTACTGCAAGAGGGGGCTTAAATACAGCAACAGGACTGCCAACAAAGAGAGACAGCAAATAAAACTTATAGCCTAAAGGAATACCAACTAAAAACTGAATAACTACTCTAACAATACAATGCATTTTTAGACAATACCCAACACTTCTTTTTTGCTCTTATCAATCCTAATAATCCAAAGCAGAAAAAAAGTTGCTAAGCAAAGACTATCCAACTTACAAAGAACAGAAACAAAATAAATTAATACAAACCAAATGCAAACATGTTTGTCCCATCACACCTTCACCAAGGTTCCGTCACTGGTGAAACGAGATGGTCAACAAGAAGACTTCACTGGCAGAGGTGCACCTGCTTTGGGAAGGGGCAGTTTAGTTTTCAATCCCACCAAAAAGAAGAATCTGTCTTTTATGTCCTGAAATAGAAAATACTTTAAATGATACATAGTGGGTTGTGTGACTTACATATTTTAAGAACTACCTCACAGGGATGCCTGGGTGGCTCAGTTGGTTAAGTCACTGCCTTCAGCTCAGGTCATGATCCCAGGGGCCTGGGATCGAATCCTGCATTGGGCTCTTCGCTCAGTGGGGAGGCTGTTTCTCTCTCTGCCTCTGCCTGCTTGTGCACTCTCTCTCTCTCTCTCTCTCTGACAAATAAATAAAACCTTAAAAAAAAAAACTACTTCACAAATCTGAAAGGAAAATAATAGAAGGAGCATGATAAAGCATAGAAGCATTTTATTAGATAGAAATTAGGCTGGTCCCAGGTAAGAGAAAATCCAGTTGATTTTAAATAATTAGTTCTCTCACAAAACAAGCATGTAGTCAGGGTGCCAATGATACCAGCTCTGCCTTTCCTATCTCAGTGTCCATCCTCATGTTTGCTCACTGCCTTGGTAAGCAGCACAGCCAAATTCCAAGCCATCATTTGCTTTTCATTTTAGACAGGAGACTTTCACTACCCTCTCCCTGCAGACTTCCTCTTACAAATTACTGGCCAGAATTGAGTCACATGCCCACTCTTAGACCAACCATTGCCAAGATAAATAAAATCATCACGACTTGACTTTTCTTTTCTTTTTTTTTTTTTTTTTTCCAAGATTTTATTTATTTATTTGACAGAGAGAGATCACAAGTAGACGGAGAGGCAGGCAGAGAGAGAGAGAGAGAGAGAGGGAAGCAGGCTCCCTGCTGAGCAGAGAGCCCGATGCGGGACTCGATCCCAGGACCCCGAGATCATGACCTGAGCCGAAGGCAGCGGCTTAACCCACTGAGCCACCCAGGCGCCCCACGACTTGACTTTTCTTATTTTAATCATGTGTTATCTCTTATTATTGCTAAAATCAACAGCTTGCTTATTCCCATTCCCCACCCCAGACACTTGCAAAGAGAGAGGTGGGATGGTTCTCAGAGTAGACATCACTGTTGACCTCAATTGTTTTTAAAGATTCATATGATATCTGTAAAAGTGCAGTTTTATGTCAAGAAGTCAAGTGTTAACATCACTATCTAGATCTGATTCTGAGTTTACAGAACACTCCAACATTAGACAACGGGGGCACCAGAATGCAATGAACTATTTTTCTAGTTTGATGAGTAAGAGCCAGCAAAGCAGCTTTTAAAAAGCACAATTTCTCAGCTAACATGAATCAGAAAAAAAGTGTCAGTTCTTTCCAATTTTACAATTCCCAATATGATCCAGTTGAGCAATCTTATCCAACCTCACCTCTCTACTCAGTATCTGCTTAGGGAATGAGGGGATGAGAAAACATACGGGGTAGTTGTGTCAATGGCTCCATTTTTTTAAAATTAGCTGTCTTTTCACCTAGACAATTTTTGCCTTTCTAGGAAAGCAGTGAAGGTCAAATTATGAGATTATCTGATAAAAAACACCCCCATGCAAGATCTTCCTGTATTTGGATTTTCAGTTATAGACTTACAATGAAGGAAAATTCAAATACCTTCAAAAACTCAGAATGCAATGGTCTTTGATGGCATAGGCCATTCCTTCTGCATCTTTACAGACAGCATTAATCCTAAAATTGGAATCATTAGACTGACCCTTACTCAAAGTATGATTACAAATTCATGAAACTTTTCTCATATTTTTTTAAGATTTTATTTATTTTATTTAGTTAAGAGAGAGTGAGAGAGAGAGAGAGAGCGCGCGCGCACACAAGTGGGGGAAGGGGCAGAGGGAGAACCAAACTCCCTGCTAAAGCAGAGAGCCAGACACAGGGCTCAATCTCAGGACCTTGAGATCATGATCTGAGCCAAAGGCAGACGCTCAACTGACTGAGCTACCTAGGCGCCTCTAAGATTTTATTTTTTAAGTAATCTCTACAACCAACGTGGGGCTGGTCACAACCTTGAGATCAAGAGTTGCATGCTGCACCTACTGAGCCAGTCAGGCACCCTCATTTTTTTCCCAACAGGGAGCTTGAACTCAGGACCCTGAGATCAATATCACATGTTCCACTGACTGAGCCAGCCAGGCGCCTTGAAACTTTTCTCATTTTTAAACTACACTATATTACATACTCCTCCTTGAACACATCTCATCTTTCCCTCTGTGCTTTTCGGTTGTTCTTTCCACCTTAATATTTGCCTTGCCAACTAATGCTGTAATTACTGCCATTAGAATTTTGTCAGATGAGATTCAGGGTCTGTCTCCCATGCCCCCTTTTCTTCCATGCCCAGACAGGGTCCAAGGCTTTGAATCATTCCTCACAGGGTTCACCCACTATCCAACTCTCAACCACTCTGAGGATTTTAATAGATCCAAAAGAGATGCAAGCTCTACAAAAGTCCCCAAAAGTAATGAGACCAAAAGGTCAGCTGACTAGGACTGAAAGGAGGACTACTGCCTACAACTTCCCTCACTTATTTCTTTTTTTTTCCTTTAAAACAGTGCAGGTAGAAAAGAATCAGCAAAGAAATTGGGAAGGCTCAAGAGAAATGACGAGGAGGGCTCCACATCTGACTGGTTTCTTTTTATTCCTGAGATGTAGGATCTGTACACATCCACATACCACAGAACAGACACAAAAGAATTCTGGCTTTTTTTTTTTTTTTTTTTAAACAACCTCCAAAAGTCACTGCAATACCAGAAACATTTGGGAGACTGAGCCATGTGATGACAATTACAGGAATCCTGGAAGGGAAAAGAATGCTCAGGGAAGTCCAGACAGCCCTGTATTATAAACGCCACTTCAGCCCCAGAGTCCTCCCCACACCCTCCACATCACTGCCAGGGAGAGGTGGCTGGAGACGCTGTTCCACAACATTCCCTGGACAGCTCTCGATGAGAAGCATGCTCTCACACTGCTCCATGATTTTGGTTTGCTCAGTGTCCTCACCCTTTGAAGTAAGACACTTCCTGATGGTCAGGAGTTTGGTTCCCAAGGATGTGAGACTTACAGTAGAAAGATGAATGAAAAGGCAAACCACTAAACATACTAATATGACACTGAAACTTTTTTCCAAGTTTCTTTATTCCCTGAATTAATCCTTGTGGAATTTGGGGTAGGGGGCTGGGAGGTTAAGATTTGTAGTTGGGAGGAGAAAAAGAACAAATATTTACCGAGCACCTCTCAGAGCAAGCTGCTTTCAGAACTAAGAAACCTTGCAAAGGAGACAGCATCCGGGTTTAATGACAACTAAGGCTCAGAGAGGCAATGTGCCTCATCCCAAAGCTCTTAAGAAGGCAGCAGCCTGGAATCCCACACCAACCTGACTCTTTCTATGAAACTACACTGCCTGAGACTGAATGCAAATACATCAGAGTCAGACATGGTACAACACAAACAGGCATTCACCAATCACTCATACCAAAGCACAACTGACTTTATTTCTTTCTTCTTACATAATTCATATAAAGTATAAGAAGTGAGTTGCAGGTAATCCAAATAAAGTAAAAAAATTATTTGTAAAAATGTTTAAAGATAGCTATTAATATCCCCAGAGAATAGGCAATGCTATTCTCATTTGGTACATTTCCTTCTAGCATTTCATATACACACACACACACACACACACACACACACACACAATCTTTTTTTTTTTTTAAGATTTTATTTGTTTATTTGACACAGAGAGAGATCACAAGTAGACAGAGAGGCAGTCAGAGAGAGAGGGGGAAGCAGGCTCCCCACCGAGCACAGAGCCCGATGCAGGGCTCGATCCCAGGACCCTGGGATCATGACCTGAGCCGAAGGCAGAGGCTTTAACCCACTGAGCCACCCAGGCGCCCCCACACACAATCTTCTTATGTGCCACAAAATTGGAGTCATACTGGGGGGAGGGGGGTTGGGGGGCTGGGATTATTATGGACATTGGGGAGGGTATGTGCTATGGTGAGTGCGGTGAAGTGTGTAAACCTGGCGATTCACAGACCTGTACCCCTGGGGAAAAAAATATATGTTTATAAAAAAATAAAATTAAAAAAAAAATTGGAGTCATACTATCTACAGTTTGTCAGTTTGTGTCCACTTCTTTTCAACTAATATATTGGAATATATTCCCATGTTACTAGAAATTCCTCAAAAGTCTGATCTTTTAAATAATTTCATTAGATGGCACCTCGTGGCTCAGTCAGCTCACTCAGCACCTGCCTTGGGCTCAGGTCATGATCCTGGGGTCCCAGAATCAAGCCCCTCGTGGGGTCCCTACACAGCAGGGAGACTGCTTCTCTCTCTCTTTCTGCCATTCCCCCTGTTTTGCTCCTTTGCTCTCTATCAAATAAATAAAATCTTTAAAAAAAATAATAATTACATCAGAATATATTTCATAACTAAAGTCTTCCAAATGAAAGCTCTGTGCTGACAGATTAGGAAACGTAAATACTTGAAATATTACATATTCCATGTAGATATCTACAGAAAGGAAGTACAGGAGACTGCAGAGCCATGAATCATGATTCCACAGAACCCCTGCTGTTAAAAGGCTATAGTTCAACAGAATCACATTTGATAAAGCTTCATAGGTTTGAAATATTACTAACCCATTAATATACGCAAAATGTACAGAATTCAAAATTGGGATTACAAATTATCAATTATTTTTTGCTAATGCCTTTCGTGGGTCTATATGGAAGTCAAAGTGCCCAACATTGTGGAATTTTCTTTAGATAGAATCATGATAAATTGAGTACCTGTTTCCATTTATTAGCAAAAGCTTCTCCAACATGGCACACACCAAAGAACCATCTGACTATCTTATAAAGCCCAGCAGTGGTAGTAATGATAGTAATACTAAACAGAAAGAGGACAGTAAGTAAAGAGGAAGAGGACCGTGATGATAGCTTTCATTTTTTTAAGTCTTATTCCATGTCACTCACTGTCACTAACTCTTAATATAGATTTTCTTGGATTTAATTCTTTCTAAATCCCATAAGGTAGCCACTTTCCTTATTCCCATAAAGTAACAAGCAACTTGAAC